TCGAGCTATTTGCCTTTGCCACGTGTTGAGWGATTACGAGGTCGGGCCAAATCTTCCTTCATCAATTGCCCCCACTCCTCGTGCTAAGGGTCTTGCCTTGGTGCGGGGAGTTCGCAAGGTGGCAGGTGGATTTGTCCCGTACTTTGAATCTCGGTTGACTAATAGCGCGAGGTGCATTGTCAGGGTTAGTTTCTTCGAGCGCCCAGAAGACGAAAGACGCGCCGACCTACCTATAAATGCTGCCAGACGTGACATCGCGCGCTTTATTTTAAAATCAAAAAGGTGCGTCGCTGGGAGACATGACAGCAGGCGTCCTTTCAAATTTTGAAAACGTGCCGCTGCCGTTTTTAATGTGAGGAGACGTGCGCTGTCGTTCTGTCAGTTTTAGAAAGACGTGCACCAATCACGTCTCGGTCTCAGGGGACGTGCGGTCAGCGCGACTGCGGGCCGTTGGATTGGCTTTGATCTGTGCCGTTACTTCTTGGTCACTGTGGGTATAAATAGAGGGGGACCCCAGTCGCTTTCACTTCTGTGCTGCCTCTTGAGCTCGCGTCCAAGTTTCAGCTCGCGCTCAGGCTTTCAGTTCGCGTTTCCAGGTTTTCGCTCGTTCAAGTTCCCGTAGTCTTGTTGAAGCTTTTTTCCGGGTGAGTACCTCCCTGGAATCCACCTTCTCTCCTCGATGTCTAGGTCGGAATGCTCAGACGGTCCTTCATGTGGGTTAGAAGCAGGTTCTACAAACTGAGTCGCATCCCTGATAGTCCTAGCGAGCCAGAGGTAGAGCTCGAGGAAGAGTTCGAACCCGTAGGTCGGGTCGCCTCGAGTAGTTTGGCGTCCACCTCTCGTCGGGGTCGGACGTTAGACAAGTTTGGCCACTCGACCATGACGCCTGAGGGACTCCAATCCCTTATTACCTATTACAATTTTCCTGGGGAGTACGCTTATTTTATACCTTCGGGTAGCTTTCCTTGGGAACACGGTCCTGATGAGATCGTGATATTCCGTGAGCAGCTCGCTGCGGGGCTGCGATTGCCTTTYCATCCCCTMYTTGTCGAGGTTTTGAATCACTTCGGCGTTACGGTCGGCCAGCTTCACCCGAACTCCATTC